CAGAGAGACTTTTGGCTTCATGCAAGGAAAGCAGCAGAAGCAGCAGAAGTCTTTCTTTCTCTCCCCCAAACTCCACCAGAAATGAGTCTTTGCCGGCACAGCCTCTTGGAGCAGGAGGCCTTGCAGGGTCCCAAAGACTCATTTCTGGCAGAGTTTAGGGGAGAGAAAGAAAAACTTTTGCTGCTTTCCTTGCATGCAGCCAAAAGCAGAAGAAGAAAGAAGCGGAAAGAAGCAGCCCGGTGGCCAGGCGAGGTGCGTGGGGCAAGGGGGGCAAGTTCCCCCACTCCACCCTTTTCCCCCTCCCCTCACTACCTCATGTTGTTCGCAATGCAAGTGACGCAAGCCTTGTGTTCCCGCAAGCCATGTGGGCAGCACAGCCTTGTGTTCCCGCACAGCCTGGATTAATTGCTTTGGGGGGGGGGGACATTTCTCTGCGGACCACCAAAATTTCCTTGCGGGCGACCAGTGGTCCCTGGCCCACTGGTTGGCAGCCACTGTTCTAGACATGCTGATGACTTTCCTATTCCTAGAACTCAGAATAAGTAAGACAAGCCATTGAGAGACAAATGAAGAAGGAGTCCTTGCTTACCGCCTGAGAGTGATCTATAGATCTTTTAGTGGTCAGCCCAGGGAAACAAGATCTTTTCAAAAGCAATTAAGCTTTAGAAAGATCTATCAGGGCAAAGTAAAAGGCTTACAAACCATCCCTGGAGAACGAAATAAAAATCCTACAGTTTGTTTTCTGGATTCTCTATAAAGACGACCACTTGTGCGGAAAACCTTCCAACCAACCACCAATGTAGCTCTTTTCTTTTCAGACATTTGATTGGCTCCTGTCTTTCGCTTGCAGAGTATCCACCTGTCCTTCCTACGAACGGTGCCCCCTTACTCCCACCAGTCCAACGTTTGGTTCGAGATGATGCGCTTTTACAAGTGGAACCATATCATCCTCATTGTCAGCGATGACCACGAAGGACGGGCTGCCCAAAAGAAGCTGGAGACCCTCTTGGAAGAGAAGGAATCCAAGGTCAGTATCCCCCACGCTCTGCCGCCTAAACTTCTGTGGATACAGCAGAACCTTTAAAAGTCTCAGGCTTGTTGTATGTACGTAGAGCCGTGTATGTAAAACACCTTCTTTCTTCCCATTGTTAACACGACTAACATTATGCTTTAAGCATCAACGGTGTCTCTTGAGTAGTACCTAACGAAACTTTGTACTCTTATTCATTTCACTTGCTTTACCATGGTCGAAAACCTTCTGCATTAAAAAAAAACAAAAAAGAGAGAGAAAAAAACAAAAAACATGCAAACGAAACCGGCAACAACTGTGAAATGAGGAGAAACATAACCTGGAGCTTTGCAAATCCCCCTTTTTCAATGGCGAGTGTGCTGATAAAGCGAAAGCTCTCCAGAGTAGCAAGGAAGCTATCCAAGGCCTCCTGGCTTCTTGTTGGCCAGCTGGGGTCAGAGAGAGAGAAAGAGAGCGTGAGAGAAAGAACATAAGAGAAA